TTAAGCATGAAAGAGTATTTCCATCGTTTGGGAAACTCTTTATGGTGATAGTTAAAAACTCGACCTCAACTTTTTGACTTCCAAATTTTTATCACTTTTTAAATTATTTTATAATTCTCACTTCAATTTGTTTGGGAGAAATGAAAATGGATGAAGTTTGGAAATGCTTCATGAAGACATTTTCTCCTCTAAATTATAATGTGCAAAAAAGTGTTCTACAAGGTTTTCAAGTAAGCCTAGTAGTTAATAACGTATGTTGGTCGAATATCGTTTGCTCCAAACCACAAGCAACCCAAAGATCAGGTGAATGACAGTTTAAAATTTAAGTCAAATTTTTGTCCACCGTGCTTACTACAACGATGTAATTACTACTTACAAAGTTATCATATGGTGTCGAAAAAATTTGCCAGAAAAATGCGTCACTTTGCTGATGTAGTCAGCTAATATCAGTCAGTCAATGTGCTATACCTTTCTTTAATTAATCTTGGAAAAAAAAGCAAATTTCTTTAATTAATCTTGTAAAAAGTAAAATTAATTTTGTGATCTTTGCAAAATTCTTTAATTAATCTTTAATTAATCTTGTAAAAAAGATGTTAATTTCGATAATTTTTGTAGAAACCGACTCATACATTATGCTGAAATACTCATATTTTTTGTATATCTGTCATTAATTCGCAATAGCAGTTGACTGATAAGTTGACGGAATTTTCCATAAAATTTAAAACCTGAACAAATTTTGAGAGAGAGTTCTAGTATCATAGGGTAATCAGAAGGGAATTTTCATTATCTGTATTATAAACAGATGTTAGTTTAAACGATTCATTTCCTTCTCATCAATTAATAAAGCAGAGATAGAAGGCCAAAGGACACAAAATTTACTCTACAGATACTACACTAATTAGCAAAATTTAACAATTTGTGACCGTGATTGGAAAGCAGGAATGCTTATTACGGAAATTATTCAAATGTAAGGTAATAAATACATTGATAGAGAGCGACTGGCAAAGGTAAAAAATATGGAAGGTAATAAGGATATAAGATAAATGCAAAAGAATTTAAGCAAGCAATTACTTTTTTTGAGGAAACAACCTATTTGAAAAACCCAAATTCTGATGATGCCAGAAATATTGTGCATTTTTCAAGTTAAAATCATCCATGATAGAGATGCGGAATTCTCATTCTTTTCTCACTGATTACAACTTATCACTTATTCTTATTCCTTTCCTTTCCTTTTCCTTTTCGAAAAGAATAATTAGACTCACAAAAATTTCCACAGCTTTCATTACAGACATAGTTTTTGCATAAAATATTTCGAATTAACTTTACTCCAACAATCTTCGTTCCTGATGTATCAATTTTTCAACGAAACTATTTTTCGTTTTGACTATTCCTCTATATTGTACACTGTATTAACTCTATATGTGAGCATGCAACTTTTCCGGAAATACTGATTGGACAAATACCCAATATATTACAGTTGCAAATAGTTAGAGGTAAAATTGCCTGATCAATACCAGGTTTTAATTTGGTTCCATTTGCAACTCACACAAATTCAGTAAATATTTCCCCAAATATTTCAGATTATATTCGATTACAACGTAGAATCAAAGGGATCTATTCAATCTTTTATTTGGTGACTCTTCTACTCAGTACTCTACTCATCACTTTCGATAAAACAAAAACAGAACAGAGTCACCAATGTTCGGATTTTCACTGCAACATACTGCAAAGCAAAATATTTAAAATTTAGCCCGTATCACTCATATCCATAGATAGTTGACGTAAATGTAATCAGTTTATCAGTTGTACATGAAATTTAGATATTACGTGGACTACAAAAAACTGCAGCATTCTTTGTCATAAACATTCCATCTTCACACAGCTTCAGTGTTGATGAGAAGATATACTGAATGTTTATGACAGGACTTGTTAAACTTGTTTTCAAATTTTGGAATCATTTTTTTAGTAATGAAGAAGGCATCAAAGAGGTTTTCCTCTTGGTAAAAAATTTTTGACTCTTTTGTCCCACATAGGTGTACCTTAGTGATCGTAATATTCCTAGCAACGAAATACAATTCTAAAAATGATGATCTAAAAAATAAAACAATTCTAAAAATGAAATGATGATCTAAAATGAAATGATCCCAATATTTTTCACATTATTTTTTCCTATGACAAGAAGAGAACAGTCCATTATTGCTGTAAGATTTACTGCTTATTTGTACGGTTTGGCTGTAATAAATTAATAACACATCATTTTATGATGATGGTGGTTCTCTATCCTTCGGATTTTTGTAAGGTGCAAAGTAGTTTTTTGAAAACTGCATGGGTACAATAATCATGGTGATTTTTCTGGACAAATGCAATATTTTTGGAGTCTGATAATATAAGTTGAACAGCGTAGATAACACCATATAACAACCGAACATGAGCAAGGCTTTTTCTGTACCGCATAAAAATTAATACTGTTGGCCAAGGGCTATACAGGAAAAAGATATTTTTATTTGGGCTTCCCTCATCTCTTTTGAAGAAATTTCGTAAGAAAAATCATTTCCAGGTAAGCAAAAGCAAATACTTTTGAAAGTAAGAACTTTGAATAGTCTTCTGCCACTAAATGTCAGCATTCCCAGTATTCATCTTCAAGATGTCCAACTCCTTTTTACTAGCCTTTTCCCTGACCATATCTGGCAGTATCTCTTTCGTACCTATAGCAAACTTGCAGTTTTCTAACTGCTGAGGAGAGGAAGGTAACAAATTTTATTCCTTTAACAGAAACTATGAAATAAAATTGCACATCAATGAGGAATCCAAAAGTATGAGTAAAATCTGAGCTGAAAATTTTCCAGTTTTGAAAAGATGAGCTTCTTTCGTTCTTTAATTCATGCTTAGCGTAGCCACGCTTTCACCTTAAACATGAACGGAAGTGAAAAACATTCCATTGGGTATCAGCAGAACATTTGAATTTTCCCTGAAGATTAAAATTACATACGTCTTTCATTCATCACTGTCAATTAGAATTCTTCCATAAGTATTAACCTTCAAACAGGCATTAGCATTATGCTTTGGTATGAACAAAAAGTTTTCCGGTACCTTTCCTAAGAACATCTCCAAAATTTTAATCCATCTGTAGACCGATCGCTAGCTAACAAAGTTTCCAAGTCAGAACGACCATGATAAAGCGGTTTCGTTCATACGCTGTGGCACAACCTAACCATAATATTTCAAATAATGGAGACAGGTCTTTTGAATAAGTTCATGAAGACAAGTCTTTTGAATAAGTTCATGTTTAAAAACTGTTTTCCTTTCCATGCGCTAATTCTATATATCAATCAGTGATAAAAACTAAAATGAAAGTATGCGTCCAGACGATCATATCTTTAAAGTCCATCTTTATAAAAGACAAAATCTAATATCAGATTAGCGAAGCTATTCTGTTTAACTTCAGTTGAATAATCGAACAATTAAGTACTGCATATGAAAATACAGAATGTAAGAAACCTCTAACCGTTATGTAACAACATCCAAAAGAAAGCCATTCCAGAAGGAAACGGGTTTTTTTCTACTCCTTCACCATCGTACTCCAATATTCTAAACCATAATTAAGGAATCTGCAAATGGAAATCATATCGATGAAGTAAAAAATGATAATTTACGAACATGTAAATTAAAGTACGCCGAATCAATTCTAAGTAAAAAAATAAGACTAAAAACCAAAAGTGGAATGTTAGGTCTTGCAGAGACTTATGATTGAAAAAGTGAGCACCAGTTAGGATGCTGAAAACATCGCTGCTGACTGTAGTCACTTTTGTTTACCTTATTCCTGCTTTATAATGCTTTCAATTATTCAGAACCTACTTCTGTACATAATCCAGTCATTGGGTAGCGGCAATATCCCAGTGTTTACGTTCTTTAATTTCTGTAAAAATCCATGGACACCGCGACCCACCATAACACCATTAACTGGATATTTTTCTAACCTCTGAAGTGAATAAATTGCAACACTCCTCGAAAAAGCTTGCAAATATTCTGAATTTAAAAGATTGCTCATATTACAGCTGTATAATTTGTAGTGATTTCAAAGTAGGGTTAAAAACTGAAAAGGAAAAGCATGACAAATCGCAAAAAGGATTAAAACTGAACAGATTGAGTATTTAAAACGATTTCATGTTATGATCGAGTCTTGCAGACCCTAAGACTACAACAAATTATGGCAAATAATATTAACATGAATAGATCAATAATTATCTTGTTAACGGAACTCCTGTAGGATTAGACATTAAATACTGAACAAATAGATTGATGGGTTTATTTGGAAATGTTGGACAATACACAGACCCCAGCAAGCTACCTGTATCGCTTCACAATAGACTCGTGATATTAAAACATAATTAAACAAAATGGTTCCATTATGAGAATATTACAAATGAAGATGATGAAGTTAATCATAATGAAAAATATTATTACTTTAAAGCTACTGTTCAGTGATGGGAGACAACATTAGAAGAAAAGCTGCAGAAAACTTTGAAACTTACCTGCTGAAATCATAACAATCATCGATGCTTTGTTAAGAACGACAGCTTCCCGAATTAAATGAGACGACGACAGTTCCATCCACCCCGTATGCTCTCACCAACTTCCAAAACGACACTTCTCACTTTTTTGGTAATTCGCGGCCCGGGTAGTTTCCTGGTTTTTGAAATTTCCAGTGATTGAAGGGTCGAATAAGTTCGGGACAAATTTATATTCCTATGTTCATAGCACTTTTCTTGATAATCGATTTCTATTCGCAGTCTTATCTGCATCATCCATCTCTTTTATATTATTTCAAATTGAACTTTCCACACCTTTGAATTCATTTTCTTATTTCACATAGATTTCATTTGTTTTGTAATACCGTAATTGATTAAATCTCTGAACAAAACTCTATGGAATGAGCAAATTTCTTGTAGAATTTTGATGAAATAATATTACTGATAAGGGAAGGACTTGTTATTACCACAATGACAAATTACGACGAAATGCCGCCATATATCCATGAAAACAGCTGTCGTAAGTATCATAAATTTTGACTAATTAGTGTAAACTTTTAATTGCATCTTCTTTATGAATAATAAAAACATCCCAATTAAAAAACAGTTGGATTTAGTGGGTTAATTGCATTCCTAATCAAATACCAAGAAAGTTAATTGTCTTTTTTTTTCATATTTACCCTACAAGATATGTGATTTTCGTTTGCAGAAGATTTTCAAAATATCAATGCGTCACGTATTCTGAGAGATATTACATTCGTAAGGTTATGTTTGGAAAGTATTTGCATGAATGAGGAAGATGAATTTATCGTTGAAGTGATTAGGAGACGATCTTTGTTTGGGTAACTTTTTTTTCTGATTAATTTTCATCCTTTTCGGGGTATTTTGTTAGCCTAATTGAGGTTTAAAAAAATCAATTTGGATCTGTTTTCACGAGCCGTCGTCAAAAAATTCTGTGTACTAAATAACTAGGTAATTCTGTCGACTTTATGAAATTCCATTCTTATGTTGTTCAATTTTTGTAGTTCAGATTTATCCTGGAATATCAATTCCCGTCGATAGATGCTGCCTCTACTTCGCTGAAAGCAAGGGTTCGCATACATGCTAAACACTTCAATGGTAATATTATTCATTTCCGACATAAACGTGTTATACGGATTAAGATGATTCCGGAATTGGTTAATTTATGGAAACGATCACCATTATTGTTAGCAGTTTATGCGAAATTGAACACATTAGGAAAATATTCAGTTAGTTTAGTTCTTTTTCCAAATTCGTTTCACTTGTATACATGTCGTTTTAATTGGTATTAGTAAGCATAGGAGGATCTTGTATTAATAAGATGTACTCTTTTTTTAGAGCGAATAGTCTTTTTTGTGGGCATCGGAAAAAATCAATGTTTTCGATTTTTATTCTTTGGAAACTTTTATGCCCAATTCTTTATTGGTTCTATGATTTATTTATTATTTATTTTTCTTTAAGCATTCAATATCAAGCATCATCGATATTGTTGATCGTTTGGTGAAAAAAGACAAATGCAGACTTTATTTTACGTTTCTTTTTACTACGTTTGCGTTTTTGAAACATTTGTTCTTTGCAGACAAATCATTACCAGATGTTTAATTTACGTATTTTTGTGACAGTCCGAATACCTGTAATTGTTTCAGATGAAAAAACTAGGAAGCTGTGAAGTACCGTTAGAGGAACTTATTATTCCTCCCTTCATCATCTGCCGAGATTTTCTGTTTGTTGGCCCCGGATTTTCAGCTTCTGCTTTGGTTTGTTTTCAAAAATTAATCTTTCTTTTGATTACTTATTTGAAAGGGTAAATTTAATTAATGCTAATAAATCTTTAATTATTTGGTTATCTTCACCTGTTGTTATTGGAAGATTTTAAAAAGATACTAGAATACTAATGAAATTATAACCTTCAATTCTGAATCCCACTGCTCAGTTTTGTCAACTAATTAAATTGTCATAACTTTAGTGCTACAGATAAAAATCGATCTCGGATCACATATCCGACTGTTGATGGAAAGGCTAGAATGGATGAGAAATGGTAGTTTACCACAAAGTGGATCAGCTACTCGTGCCAGATCGAGATCTTCGTCTAGAAAAGGATCAGTTTATGCTTCCAGTCGATTAACACCTTCACTACCCCAGCGTCGTGCCTTCTCCTCATCTCCTCCCCGTTTATCAAGGATCGCTGATCAAGTTGAGTTCTTTCTTGCTATTTATATTCTGTTTTGGGAGTCATTCGTTCGTTCTTTTTTTACAGTAAATGGAAATTCTTCGAAAATTTTGGAACTTAATTTTAACTATTCAAGAAACATTTCAGTGTTGAGACCATTTCCTCCACCTCTTGTCAGTAGCAGTCCACGTGATACTGTGTTGTCTTCTCCTTATGCAGATAATACTCCACGTGCAGCGATACGTGAACTATGTCCAACGAGCCCATCTTACCGAATCAAACTAACTGTTTATTCGGCTCGTCGTTTGCCTCTTTCATTCAACTCTAGGTTATTTTTTTTCTAATTTTCAGATCTTTTGCAAAAATCATTTATCTTGAGGAAATAGACACTTTTCGTTCTACAGAGGTGATGCTGTTGCACCATCAACTTATCTAACGGTGATTGGAGAAGATGGACGGACTTTGAGTTCACCGGTACGTGCTGGAACGTTACATCCAGAATGGAACTGGACGGAAACATTCAATGTTTGTTGATATTTCTTATCTTTCAATATATAGGAAATAAAGTTGCAAAATGAAAAGCAAAAAAAGGGTGTAGTCTCTTAATCTGTTATTTTCCAGTAGTGAATGTAGGTTTTTGGTTTTCGGATTGAGTGAGGCAAATTTTCTGCCTGCTTTAGGTATCAAGAAGTCGTCAGAATCTGGTTGTGAAATTATGGAAACGTTGTATTGTTGGGTCAGATAAAGTAATTGGTTTTATATCACTCCAATTGCCACCTGCTGATACAGGAAAATCGGAATACGAAATGTCCGATTTATCGGTTTCAAATCAGGCACCTTTGATTACTGTAAGTATTTATTTTTGTTGTATTATTGTGATTATTGCTAGGATTTAAAAAAGCTTACATTGCTTATCAGTTGTAGTAGGTGTTTTGGGTGGAAGAAATTTCTTTTGACTACTGATTAGTTCCTTATTTTGGGCAAAAGGCAAATTTGCTTTTGCGACATAATAGTCGATGCTTTACCAACCTCAGTAGCATTGCTTCAAAACTTAAGTCTTTTCTACTGATTGCTATTCATTCAATACTCTGCTACTTGCTTTGAGTATGAATAAAAAACATCAAAATGCATATGCTTGATTTTTTCCATGCAATTTTCAGCTCTCTATTTCGTGTGAAACCCTTCCACATGCCGAGTCATATGATAAGGCGCCATTGTTGGTACCTTTGTCATCACCATTACCGCTTAAGCCGCTCCTTTCTGAAACATCTCCACGATTACAAAAGATGACAAGCGAGGAAATATTCGAAAAATTGAGGTAATGTATTCAGTAACTCTGATTGTTATTGACGCATAAATCTGATGGGTAATTTTAGGAAGGAGTAAGGAACTTTGGAAGAATCCTGTCCTATTTTCTCCTTTAAAATTCAACTTTGAAATCAGTGTTTGAAACTGGGTTTTTAATAAATTTTAATTTCCGAAAAATTTGACAGGAAAAATATCTCCGAATTAGAACGAATGATGGAACGACTGAAGTACTCCTGATTATTACATTTTTGGCTCAGTACAAATTTGCCTGCCATTGCGCGCTTTTGTAAGAGAAATTATACTGAAACCAGCGATCTTATTAATTGCAAGTTACATTTCAATTTTCTTATAAGTGTGGTTTAGAATTTTACTGTTGCTGCCCATCCGGGACAACAAGGAATTAGAATTGCTATTGTTAGAACTAGAAGTGCAACTGCATCAAATAATCAAGTGTCCTTAAATATACATTATGCACTTAAAATATGTCATTTCGTTAATTATTCGCATCTATTTTAGCCGCTCGAGCATATTCTGACAGTACTGGCATACAGCAGCTTCTTAGTATAATTATTGGAAGCCTATTAACCTTTCTCACATATGCATATTTATAAAATGAGTTTTTAGAATTCCAGGTTCTATTAGGCTTCAACTCATTTTTAACATCCCTAAGATATTTTAATATCCTTTCCTAGTGCATCCACTGGTCTAGATTTATTGGACTCAGATTATACTGGATTTTTTTTCTGCTTCATGGATATATCGGAATCCAACTATTGATTTAAATGTAACCATAAGCCAATATATGAATTCGTGAGAAAGTGATTTGAATTGTTAAGATCTTTAGGAAATTCGAAAATTGGCAACTTTCTTGTTGAAGATTGCAACTTCTCAGTTAGGCAATTTCTTAGTACCTCTTTGAGATACTAAGGAACTGAGATACTAACGTACTTGAGACACTCTGCTTAAGATATTAAGGGATTTACAGGCTTGATAGTTGTAGAAAGAGGTAGTTGGTAGGTATATTAACATAATTCTGATCTATTTTCCTCATGCTAAAAGGAATTCTTCCTAAACCATGCGCATTAAGGGGGCTATGCTTGTTGTAGTTATCTTCCAGTAATATTAAAGGATGTTTTGTTAAAGAAAAAGTTTTTTAGAAAAAAAAGTAATTTTTTTCCTTACTAAAAAAAAAAGTTTTTTTTAAAGAAAAAGTTTTTTTAAAGAATATTTTCTTAAAGAAAAAATCTTTCTTAAAGAAAAAATTTCTTAAAGTTTTCTTAATTAAAGAAAGTTTCCAGCTGTCTTCTCAAAGAATTAATTTTCGATCTTAGTAAGCATAGCTGTCCCTCACTTTTGTTGTGCGACACATGCAAAGCACCTACTATTGAAATTAATAAAGTAACGACGAAGCTTTAATTTCTTGAATTTGGAAGTCATGCACCAATCTATGCATCCAGAAAAATATATTTTTTGATTTGACATATTTAGTTAAATAATACTAAAGTGTTGTCGCTGTTAACAATGGACGCATGTTAACATACGATGTAAAATATATCAAAGCATTTCTTGCTGTATATCAAAGTAAAAAAAGCAAATCTAATTGCGATGAACACATAAATTTAACCAATATGCCTACTGTTTGTATCGCAAAGGTAAAGCAAGTTCTTCCAAAACTTCAGAGGAATGCAACAGCAATAAATTGTTATTAGAATGGTCAAAACTCAACGTCGAAATCAAGGTCGGATGTAAAGGGCTTTTGGAAAAATGGCACTCATTAAGAACATTGGATAAGAAGACTGCTTACATTCGTTTAAAATGACTTTTTCAATACAAATTTTTGGGAAAGAGAATCAGAACAGCTAATCAAATATATTCAATCCAGACAGTTCGGCGACATATAATATCAAAAACACAAAAAAAAATGTGAAGATATCTTGGAAATGTCACCGCTGGAAGATACCAGAAAATGAAGCCGAGGAGCAAATCTGCTCTTGGCTCCAAACTTCTCTGCTTTTGGGCCTATGACTGACTATGTACAGCAGGCAGTTAAACAAGCAACAATCTCAGGAATAAATATATTACTTATCGAGCACCTCGAAGTTATCATCCAAACCACCGGCTAAAGCTGCTATTACACTCACTTGTCTTACACTCACTTGTCCTGCACCACAAATTTCAACTCTTTCCATTTTCTTCTGATCCACGTCCTGCTTCCTATCCTTCGACCTCCCGTCTCCGGAATCTTCCGTTTTCTGGATTTTCACATCACCACTCAGGAGTTCTACTTGCGGACGACGGTCCTCCGATTCGAAATCAAGTGCATCTAAGTTTTGAGGGTCTGCATCATCCGATGCATTTTGAGCAGACGACGAAACTACACTCTCGGAAGGACTACTGGTTGACGACGAATGCTTCTGTTTATCCTTCTGTACCTTGTATGCTGTTGAAATTAACTCATCACTGCAAACCGATGGCGCCGGATCTTTCGGATGAGCCTTTGGTTTTTTTTCAGTGGTTTCTGAAACTTTGACTTCGGTCTCAGCGCGAATTCAGCCTCGCTTGAGTCTGAGGTATCTAAGTTCGGAAATTTCAAGCCACGGAGGAAATCGCGTTCGTCTTCTGAAAACAAAAAACAAAAAGTGATAGTCTGCAGCTGCTTTTAAAAGATAAATTAATAGTTAAAGATACAAATTAAAGACTTTCATAGATTGCGCATACAAGTATATCTGTAGCTGGAGATGATAAAATATAAAGATGATATTCTACAGGTGATAGTCAGGAAAATAAAATCTGTTTTGTCACTTCCGAAAAAAGGGACATATCGTTTTTCCTAACAATAAAAAAAATTCTTGCCAAAAAAACATAGCAATCTAAAAATGACCTGTAAAAGGACTAAGTGATCGACTTGGTAACGAAGGTTTGTCGGAGGTTTCCTCAATGTCAGATTCTTCACTACTGAAACCAGGTGGTAGCAAATCCGCCAATTCAGTATCTGTATCATCTAAACAACCAATTATGTCTCAAATCCAAAATACCCAATATAACATTAAAATCATAAAATTTGTTACCGTTTGTTCTATACCAATCTTATCCCACAAATTTTAAGTGTTAGAAAATTGGGAGAATTTGTTTGAAAAAAAGACTGTGTAGAGACAAATAGTATTATTTTCTACGTAATACTGGTAAAATATCTAAAATTTAAGACGTAAAAGGTTTCAAAAAAATATAAACATTGAACTTACCACAAAATGGTGACTTTTTAGGAATATGATCAACGAAAACCTGGCAAACTGGACCCAAATAATAAATCAACAAGTAGTCTTCACAAACTTTGTATTTTTTATATAGGATATCAATTATTGGTTGCAGTAAAATTCGATAAAGGTGCGCGCAGGCCTAAAAAAAAAGCTGTCAAAATGTTAGGAAAGATGTCTACCACAAATTTTTAAATAAAAGATTCTTCCTTGAACACAGTTCCTCAAAAGTATTTGGGATTCATTGTTCAAGAGTTCTTAACAAAGTCTTTACCCTAACTAAGTTCACTGAATATACCCAAATACGAAAAGACATTAAACTAGACATGAAACTAGAAGTAAAGAAGCTGAAAGTACGCGCCTTATTCATTAATGAAATAAGTAATATAAAAAAGGCCAAAGTATACTATCGCGCACTCTTATCGCCAAGTTTTGCAACAGCTGCTTCAGATATATTAAGGCTTTATCAATTTGTCGTCTAATCCATCTGGAAAATGCAAAGAAAAGTTTAGAAATTACTAAGGTACAAACAAATAATGACCATTTAGGACAAGATTTTGATCTGATAAACAACAATCAGTTCTTCAGCATTTAGCAACCAAAACATAGTTATCAGTAGGTGAGCAAACAAAACGGTAACACCATTCAATTCAAAACACCTTTAATATTCCCAATCGAATTATCAAGGAACTATCTTATGGGAAGATAAAATTTTATATACTTTCCTTCCTATCCTTCTAATCTCTAGTTTTAGTTGTTTCCTCAGTTTTACGTTACAAACATCAGAAGCTCCATTAAGAAAGAAAATTTAGAGAAAGCATATCAAATAAACGAAAAATTTACATAAACCTGAAGGATCAGACCAATTT